GGGCTGAGGACTCTGGCTGGAGTAGCCAGAGAAGAATTACAGAGAATCCCAAGTTCTGATCCTAGGGCCAAAGCCTTCAGTATCCTCTATGCAGTTTGGGCCAAGAGTGAAGACAGTGGGGTTCCCCAAGAAATAATCAGAGCTGTTATTCCTTCAAGGTGAGTAGTGGGTGGGTGATGCTTCCAAGGGGGAACGGTGAGAGCTAGGAGCTGCTGCGTCTGGTCACATCAGCAGAACCATGTTGAAGTCAAACATCCCATAACACTAGGGAGTTAGATCGGGGACAGCTGGCGGTGGGGATTCTCATTCCACTCCAAGGTTGCACATGTCAACAGCAATCACCACTAGGCTCCGGCCCTTCTCCACATCATCCCTATTAGTCAGTGTAAGTTGGCATCTGCACCAGGCACTGCAGCATGTGACAGTGGATCAGGCCAGCCTGCTGTGGATGTGGGGGTGGCTAAGAGGAGTGGAGAGGACACATGGACTGCACATTTGCCATCCTCACCACACTTTCTTGACCCCACAGGGCAGGCATGCCAAGTCTGCACCAAAGCCCCGGACCTTGTTTTCTCCCCATGGTTAGTGATAACCCTGCAAGAGAGAAATCAAATGAGATCACTGTGTGGGGCATGCATTCTAACTCCTGGCCTCACAGACCCTGGGGCCCTGAAAAAGCAGGGTGGGCCAGCAGGCAGGAGTTTGTTCCCTCCTCGTGCCCCCACACCTCCATGTGCCATTTTACATATGTCCAACCTGCCTCCTGATTTTGCTGTAGACCTCTGGCTGAACTGGGCTCAGAGCTGACCTAAGGCAAAGTCCAGGAGGATGAGGGCAGCCAGAGGAGTGAAAGCATCAGAGGATCTGCTGCTGGGTGTCAGGAGGCCTAGGGAGTAGAGGTGACACACCTGAAGAAGAACACAGTGGGGATCAGCCACAGGGGCCTCCTGGGCCTTGAGCCTTGGATACGCTTCAGCGTGGAGCCTTTGCTCTTGCCCATCAGCAGCTGGAATGTTCTTCAAGTCCCCGTCTGCTCAAGCTCACCTTTCCAGTGGAGAATGGTCCTTACTGCCAACTGTGTAAAGCCACCTGTTTCCTGTAGGGCTACAAGTCCCTTACTGTTTTTCTCTGTTCCATGACACTGCTTCAAACATATGGTATATGGTATATGAGAAAAAATTATGTTTTTTCTCACCCCATGATGCTCTAAATTCCTCAAACGCACTTGTGTGTCTAATATTCACACCCCAAGTCCCTAGCATACAGTGCCTGGCATACAACAGGCTCTTGATAATTTTCCTGAATGAGGTGGATCTTTAAGAAGTCTCAAAATTGAGCCCACCTTAGATATTCAATAAATATGATTTTCTGTAAAGGGACTAGGCATGGACTAACCATACCCATAGGGGCTCATCTGTGTTCCATCAAGGTAATACTCCAGCCTGTGTGGGATATACTTTCGGTTGGTACCAGGGTCTGCAATTGGCCCTTCCTGCATGGCCTTTGGCATAATGTTTAATTTATCTGGCGTACAAAACAAAGACTGTTGCGTATTGTTGTGTTGATTGTTCCGTGCACAGGGGAGCTCAGCTAAGGTGACGCAAAGAGGTGGAAATAGGGCCAGCCCTCCCCAACCTGCGCTTCTGTGACCTGAAGCTGTGCCAGTGCGTGAAGGAATGACTGTCTTCCAGGAAGGTGCCATTGCTCCCCAGATTCTGTGCCCACTGCATGAATCGCAGCTTAATAGAGGTGCCACCTGGACCATGGAAGCATTGTCCCCATTTTGTAGATGAGCCTCAGCATGTTGGGAAACCACAGGTCCTCTGCCTTGCCCACCCCTCCATTCTCAATCCTCAGACTCTTTGTCTTGAGCACAGAAAATGCATGAGAGCTGCTGTTTTGAAGGAGACACAGCCACATCCCGGACAGGTAGATGATTGACCACATCATGAAACAGCAAGTCTTGACTGAAGGGGAAGGGACAGAAACTAGATGCCAAGTGGGGAATAAGAGGACGCAGAAAACCTGATGGAGGGAAATGGAGGGGAGCCCTTAAAACTGGGACGGGAAGGACGGTCTACCACAATCACCCATGCTTCATCTATAATCTTGGCAAATCCGTAACTCTTTTTTCCCGAGCAGAAACGTTCTCTGCTCTAGGCCACCATGGCTACCCTGAAACAGGCACCAAGGTTGTAGCCACAGATGTACAAACCCAAAGCAAGTTTACCTATCTGCTTCTTTCGGCTGCAATTTGGCATCTGACAGTTAACGGTGCCTGAAGTTTCATTCCAAACTGAAGAATCATGCAATCACAGGAACTGAGCCTGCGTTTGGTAACAGCCCTAATTTTAACATGAGAGAACCCAGAGCTCTGAATTCAGTGTGTGCTGTAACTCAGCCACCCACAGGATTAGGTGCTAGACAACAGGTTGGCTGCTGACTTTAAATCCAGCCGGATCAAAAAAATGAATTCCTGGATCTTGTCCCTAGGATTTTACCCACCTGGGACCACTTCTAGTACCAATAACTGTATCCGCCAGGTTTTAGGGAGGTAGAGACACTGTTATGTGTCTCTACCGGAGGCTGACGGTGGGAATTGGATCCTACACAAACATGAACAGGGCTCTGGGAAATGACTGGGGCACACACGTTTATCCTTAGGCCCTTCCAGGAATGCAGCAATCCCACTGCTCTTGTAACCCAAAAGGCATGTTCCAGAACACCCATAGCTGCACTGTTGTTAATAGTCAAAATCTGGAGAAACAAGGGCCCATCACGCGTAGGCCGGCGCGGTCACAGAATGGAACACACCACAGTGAAACTTGCAAATACATGAAGTAAAAGAAGCCAGAATACCAGAGTGCACAATTAGGATTCCATTGACTGAAAATTCAAAAACAGATTAGAAGGGAGGAGAGTAGTTACCATGGAAGGGGCAGTGTCTGGGGGGAAAAGCGGGTAGCCGCTGGGGTGCCCACCACGTTGTATTTCTGGACTTGGGGCTTCAGTACCATGGAACTTTCAGTGCTGTGGAACTTGATGAACTTGCAGTCTTGAAAGTTCATCAAGCTAAGCATGCCCCAGTGGCACAATCGGTTAGTGCGTGGTACTTATAAGACAGTATATGTGCGTGTGATGCTGAGGTTGTGAGTTCGAGGAAGTTCATCAAGCTGCACGCTTTAAATTGATGTTTCCAGAGTGTGTGTCATGCTTCAATAAAAGTTAAATTGAAAAAAAAAAAAATCTTGGCTCTAGATCTGCTTCCAGCAGAGGATGAGTCAATGTTGAATGAACATAAAAACATGGGGTATGGGCTGATCTCTAGATTTCTTCCCTCATAGTAGGGCCATCCTCACTTGTTGAGGAGACCAGTTCCTGAGGGCAGGGGGATTGTCCTGGTAGGAAACCTGGCATCAGAAGGTGCCCAGCACAGTGCGTGCAATAGAGCAATGCTTACTCCGAAGTTAAGCACATACTTTCCTTTCCTAGGTCGTGTACAGTGTCTTTCCTAAGATCTCTGCCTGGACCAAGACTTGTACGTCACTCTCCTGATAATACGCTCTTGGATGAGCATATTATTTTGTCCATTTAGTCTGGGCTGTCTGGGTGCAGTGTGTGGAGCAGGCAGGCTCCATCAGGAGACAGATGGGAAAGTCCTGCTGGGTGATTTGTGGATGCTTTAATGAAGGGACTATCTTTAAAAGCTCAGCAGAGTATAAGGAAACCGTAAAGGGTAGTGCAGTACCCAGAACTCCTCCTTAGGCCAGGAAGAAAGGGCGGTTCAGAACCTGGAAACCAGAGACAGTGTGGAGAGGGCCTCCTGGCAGAGGCTGAGACCCTTGCTTTAGAGAACATCCAGACCGCAGAGTTGCCATGGGGGAAAGGGGATAAATCCTCCCTCCCTCTTTCCCCCAACCTCCTCACTTCTTGCCAGAGCTCTGCATTGACCAAGCCTACATGGAAGCCACACAGGTTCATTTCCATGGACACAGGGCAGCGTGAATAAAGGTGAAGAGAGATTTGGAGGGGAGAACAGAAGATTCCCCCACAGTGAATCAGGCCGCCAGAGTCTGTGTCATTGCATCCAAGCTCACCTGACTTATCAAAAACTGACGAGCTTGTATTATCACCCAGTAGAAGGGACAGGAGCAGATCCAGATCTGTTCATTCCACAGGAATGATTTCACCCAGGACTTAAGCCCTCTTAGGCCTTGCAAGATGCCAGAATGCTGGCTTCATCCGCTCCAGCAGCCTGCCTCAGGAGCAGACAGCTCTTCCATCCAGTTCCTGTTAGGAAAGAATAGGGAGAGCTCCAAGTGGCCAATATGGGACTCGTGTCTGTGTCCAGAGCCACCTCTGGTCTAGAGGACACAGTGCCATAATGAGCCCAGCCTGCATGAAGGTCCACCCTCTGCCCCGGCTGGGCTGGTGCCTACTGCTGGCTTACAGGTTCTGCCCATTGCCGAGTGTCTGTTCCAATGATGCATTTCAGAACTTGGCCAGCAGCCACAGGATGGGCTGGGAGACCCACAGTGCCTGCTTTGAGATGGACCTGAGCGATAACTCCATGGGTCACCACACTCCATAATCGCCCACTCTGACCGCCAGACCACAGTGACATCCAGATCTCCAGGAATGTGTCAGTTCAGAGCCAGGGTCTGGCAATCCCCAAAAAGTCTGATCTTTCTCCTTCCTCTCTGTGCACTGTCTCCCTGGTAAATGGCCATAGCTGCCTTCAGCTATGAGAAAAATTCACAGGATAAATGTGTGGCGGTGTAACCAGGGTCCTTCCTCGAGGGCACCAGGCCTCCCTTTCATCCAGGGGGTTCTAGGTCTGTACCCTGGCTCAAACCTGGGTTATTGCAAGGACCAGCAAAAAGGGGCAGGTGCCAGGTAAATAAACACCCTAGAAGCCACTTTCCATGGTAGACTCATAGCCAACAGGAACGTGTTCTGGCACACATACGGCTGAACTAAAAATAATAACCACAAAGGCAGTGTCTGAGTGCTGGGCACATAGCTGCATTTATTACAAGCATTACATACATGATTTCAGTAGGTGCCTTGACTCACAGGGAGATGTTAATAATTCCTCAAAAGCGCCCTGTTTACACGAGAAGCCTGAGGTTCAGCGAGGGTAAGCAGCAGGACCACCTAGCATCTGTATGACTCGGAGGCGCTGAGCCTGGAAGCAGACCCAGTCCCGCCCCAGGGAGCACTGACCCTCCCTAATCCCTGCCGGGCCCTGCAGAAGGGCCAGGTGAGACACTTGCAGATGGGCAACCCCACGAGCACAGCTCTGAGTCTGTTTATCAGCACAATTCTTGGTTGGTAAGGCTGACTCGTTTGAGCTGTGAGGCAGTGGACTTGAGCTTCTCAGGTGATTTCCCCAACTTGAGTGACAGACCTTCTATCTCTGCGGCCCGGCCTTTAAGAGGTTGTCCAGTCTATGCCAGCCAGCCATGCACCTTGAGCTTCATCCAAACCGTGTTCTCTTTGGATGAATGAGTTGGGCTCTCAGGTGGACTTGGCCCGATTAGAATCACAGCTGAGGCTTGATTGGTTCCTTACAGCCACCAGCACTAGACACGTTTTGAAAAACGAGATCTAGATTTTTATCCAAAGCTGGTGCCATTCTAATTCGACCTCTGCCGCAGCTGGTTAAGAGATGCTGAGGATCCAAGGAAGGATGAGGCTTCCTCACTCACAGAAGGAGACAGCTGTCACCATCCTCTGATGGGGCCGCCTGCACAGTCCTGTTTTAAGGAGGAAACACAAAGAATTGAAAGTGAAAATCACATTTAAAATGGAAAAGGCTCTATGGAAAAAATATTTAAGTCCTTGGATGAGGATGAAACTGGAGTGGGCAATATTTAACCCAGATAATTAAGACCCCCTGCTCCTGATGTAAGATTTTATTGTATATGAGGCTCTTTAAAGAGACCCCTCTTATTGTTTGAGTCAATGACTGGCTGACAACATCTTCCCAGATACTATGAACCTGATGTACCAGGCACCAACCACCTGAGGAAGTGTCCCCAGGAACAAACCTGGAGCAGTCGGGATAGGCTGAACAATCCCTACATCATAGTGGCTTGAAGGTTTTTTCTCACCATGTGCATCCACCGTGGGCCAGCTGGGGAGTCCTCACCTTACCTCCTCTCTTCAGGACCTGGGCTTAGCAGCCACTATCTTGAAACTTGCCTGTCCATGCGACAGAAGGAAAGAAAGTCCTGGAGGGTCTCGAACAGTTCAGGTTGCAGCCGGGAAGTGATCTGTGCTGCTTCACCTGTGATTCATTGGCCAGAACTAATTACATGACCAAACCCATCCAGGGGACCAGGAAGTACAACCCTGCCATGCCTGGAGGGTGCAGAGATGGGACGGGCTGCTGCACAGCCTTGCTGATCACAGGCATGCAGGGTGGGGGTGGCGATGAATGCCACTGGTGTTTGGGGGCGGGGCGGGGGGGCTCGGGAAACAGGTTCATCAGATTTGCTCAGAAACCCCTAGGTTGGCAAAGTTCCATTTTTTCTTTAGGATAGTAAATGCTGTGAGATGTCTTGTGGTGTGGGTTGTCAATCTGCACAAAAGGAACTTAGAACGCAGCAATGTGTGTTCCAATTTTTTTTGGGGGAGTGGGGCTTTATAGGACCAGCATGCTATGGAAAGCATTTTAGGAAATGCTCTGAGTTATTACCAGAAAAAGACATAGCCCGCAATGCCTGCCACACGATGACAGGAACTGCTTAGGACAGGTGCTCTCCTGTGTCTTATTTAATAAAGTCTACTTGACCATTTGCAGATGAGTAAAGTGACCAAGAACACAGGGACAGTAAATGGTAAGGCTTCCCCTTCTGGGTTGCTTGTGAGAATCATTACTTCTAAAACAAAGAAGTTCTGACACTGCTCATTCTGGAGTATACCACAGAGGTGCTCACATAGGAAGGAGCTCCATTGACCATCGGCCCCTGCAACCTGGAACATCTCCTATTGTGGCTCTGAATGATAGGATATTCCACTTGCAGAAAAGGAGAATAAAACCTTTGAAACCTCACATTCTTTACAGGGTAGCCTATCGCTGCCAGTCACGACCTCTTTGTTACCATGGTTTCAGTTGCCCTAGAGCATAATGGCTTTTTCCTCAGGTGTCCTCTTCAGGGACCTCACAACAAGAATGTTGTATATTCCTGCTGTGGTGTGCTCCTGTAGTTCTTGTCAGATCATTCCAAAGGGACCCTACACAGATCTTACTGAAAATCGAACCACATGATGCAGGAACAAACCAAGACATGCAGAAAAGTATTCTAAGTGGTCATTATTTCCATTAACAGGCGAATGGCGATAACAAGGACAGCAATGAAAATCCCCTGGAATGCGCACTAAAGTCTCATGCCTGCCCCTGATTCCTCATTTGGGCAGCGGCATAAGCCCCTTTGTGTCTGGATTGAATGACCAGCAGCGGGGGTGGCCGGGAGAGAGGAAAGTGCCAATGTGGGATCAGAACCTCAGGTGTTCTGATTGCGCAGAGTTCTCATTAGGGAGCAAAAGGACGTTGCAGATCCTGCACTGATTAGCCAGGGACTCGAAACTGCTTCGTCCACGACTGTCCTGAGTGTCCTTCTGAGCTGAGTGGGCCTTGGCTAAAATAATGGAAAATACAGGAAAGCAACTCAACCATATTATCCCTTGAAAATTCCGGAAAGCACAGAGTTCTGAGGAAGCACTAACCTGGTTCACCAAAGACACACACTGCCTTCCAAAGACGAAATAGAAATTGCCTTAGGTCATAAACCAAGAGCCAGCCCTGCTGTGGGTCCCCAGTCCACATTCTTGGAGCCACTGGAACCCCAGGATGCAGTTTAGCAACAGGCCCTACCTCTTGAGTTGGACGGTCCCACAGCCTCTCTGAGATCACAGTGCTGGGGACCTTAGATCCATCTCTGAGCCAGGAGGTTCTCCCTCAGAGCCAGTACAGGCTGGGAGACTAATGTTTGGGGTAGGAGGGAGCAGAGGAAGAAGAAGGAGGCAAGAGGCTCACAGGCTCTGCAGGGCACGGACTCTGACTTCATCCCATCATTTCGGCATTCAGGGAATGCTGAAGGAATATTACCTGGAGATGTGGTGCTGGGTAGAGCCTTGAATGAATAAAGCAAGTGAAAATCTCTGCCCTCTGCCCTCGGGGGGCTCATGCTCCTCTAGGGGAGACACAACAGACATGTCAAATGTTTCGTGGCAGCAGATGGTGATCAGTGCTAGGGGAGAAAGCAGGCTGGAGGGGTGCCCTCCAAGAAGGTCACATCTGAATAGAGACACTGGGATGGGAAGAGGTGGGGTCAAAAAGAGCTGCTGGTATAGGGAACAGCAGAGCAGGTGAGAGAGCCATGTGGGCACATCTGCATGCCATGGAGAGCAAAGGCTGGGCAGGCAGATAGGAGCAAAGCTGACCAGTAAGAAGGGCTTGGCTTCTATCCCAGGCATCCACAGAAAGGCTGAGCAGAGAAAGCAATCTGTCCTTGTTTACATTTTAAGAGGATTTAAGACCCCCAAGTCATAATGCAGAGAATGGAACACCTAGACGTGAAGTTTTTTCTGTATGTGAATTAAGCCTCAATCACTAAGAGTTATACTTCTTGCCAGAGTTCAAGTCCACTTGTTTCCTGGGTAGGCACTGGGAAAAGCCAAACAGCTGAGCAGGTGAGCAGAGAAAAGAGGCATGGCCTCCAAGACAGGCCAAAAGCAGCCTGGCTTTGTGTGGCCAGGCTCAGGAACATGACCTGTGGCCATGGTCTGCTTTTGGTCTGCATCACCCATCAATCTCTGAAACAGTGGCTGCAGCATCACCTCAGTGTTCCTTGGAAATGCACCTTCTCGACCCCATCCTAGACCTAGAGTGAGGGCACACCCCAGAAACCTGTCTTCATGAGCCTTCCAGATGGAGCTCAGGAGCCCCAACACTTGGGCATCTCCTATGGAGCTGGGGGAACAGATTTGCCTCAATACAAAGAATACTGAGCACCTGTGTACTGCCTGGTTTTCCCTTGTGTCTGTATACACACTGGTAGAAAAGGGCAGCATGGTTTGTCGCATTTTTTTGCACTCAGATTCCTTGGCCACAAAAGAAAAACAAAAATCCACAAAGCTGGTCTCAGTTCAGTTGAGGTTGAACTCTGGTTTGGTTTCATTGCCTCCTGGAAATGGTGCTCATCTACTTTCTGGTTCTTGGATCCAATTCAAGCTGCACAAAATAACCGAGTCAGCACATAAGCTTCACGAAGCATAGCTTTGTATTTTAAGACAAATTCCTTACTTTACCAAGGTGGGTAGGGGAAAGGCCTCTGAGCAGGCCTGTGGACAAAGAGGAAGGTCAAGAGCAAACAAGGCATACAGCCAGGGCGGTCCACCATGCTTTCTGCTTTCAGAATGTGGTTTACAGGCAGAAAGAGGTGGCATCAAAGATCTTGTCCCACCTTTCCTCGTGAAGAAAGACCAAGATACATTTGTAAACGTGCCATAGAGAGTTTAATGGAAAAAAATTAGAAAAGTGCATTATTGTACAACACCACATTAAATGATTTTTCTGTAAAGACATCGTAAAATATATACAGGGCTGCGTACCACACTCGTTACAAAAGAAAGATGCGAACCCTTATGTAAGTTACATATTCTACATGGGCTGGATGTCTACTTGGACTTGTAAACATTGGTGACTAGTTTTTTTTAAATATTTAATCCGGTAAGCTGTGAAAATAGATACCTCTGATATTCGTTTGTTGGTTGTCTCATTCTGTTGAACTTCAGAACAGCATTCTAAGGCCATTTGTGAAGGTGCCATCTCCACAGACAGAGAAGGCCAGAGAAGATGAACAAAAGAAAACAAACAGAAGCAGTAGGCTCCTTTTGAATTTGGTTCTCTGTGCATGAGTTTGAACTGCTGATTTTTGCCAGATCTGATACAGCTTCCCACCAAAGGCCTTGACACCTTGACCACAATAGGACCTGTTCAAGCCCCATTCACCAAGGTAGGAAGGCGGGTCCCTGCTAAGGGTCCGGAACCAAACATTCCATCTTCCTGAATGTGAACAAACAGTCCCAAGGTCACTAAGGCCATTTCTGCTAGAACTTTCCTGACTTCCATCTCGCTCCCCAGGGAGTGCTCTGGCAGGCCTCCGGTAGCATCTTCATAAGAACCAAATCCAGGTCCCCTTACTGCACGGTCACAAAAATGCCCAGCAATGCTGGGGGCGTGGAGAGGAGGAACACAAAAATCCGAAGACCCACAGATACGCAGTCAATGCACACATGCACACATACCCCAAATAGATTCACGAGGGCCCATGTCCCTATACCCCACCCTCCCCGGGAGACACCCCAGGAGTATATGCCAATCGTTTTGATGGGTGTGAATTTGGAACTAATTCAAGTTTAATTTCTTCTATGCCTGGAGTCACAAATGACAAGTTTTCTTTTTGAAGTTTTAAAGCACAAGGATACACAGTTGGCTGAAGTCAAAAATACTGTACATCTAAGAGGGATTATCAGCAATTACTTGGCCTGCTGGGAATGGACTAGAAGTTTTTTCTCCTTAATTCAGTGGTTGAAATTCTACTCATCTTTGATGTCTCTGTCCTATGTCTCTATGTCTAACTGCAAAACCTCCTTATCAACATTTTTGGGTATACCTGATATCCTCACATCTCCCAAGTGGGGCTAATCTGTTCCCTTATTTACATTTGAATCGATGAAAACAATTTCGCCTAACCCAGGGCAATGTCTATTCAGTGGAGATTTCTGATAGAGCAGAGGGTGAACTGAGATGATCTCATAACATCCTTTCCAGCCCCCCGCCCCCCGAAAAACGGCTGTCAAAATGCTATTTGTGGGCTGAACAAACAAATATATAATTAGCCTTTTTCAGGAGTGTGTTCCTCTGAGTAGCTATCAAATTATAGAGAAATCTTGTTAATTGTGGGTTCTACTTCACTGGGTTCCCACTAATTGTGTTTTTCCTTTCATCATATTTTTATTTTTCTACCCAACTTCTAAAATTCCACATGAGAAAGTAAAACCATTGCTGAGGCTTGTTCTGGTTCCTGTTTCTGCTCCTCAGCCCTGCCTCCAGACTCCGTGCATCAAGGAAGCTGTGGTCCGTTGGCATCTTAGTCCCATGAAGCCAAGGACTTGATGGTCTAGCTGGCCATAGTGGCCCCTACTGTGGCTGGCAGGCAGCAAGCACATGCTCAGCTCACTCAGTCAACAGTGGCTGCAGAAATGGCTGAATCAAGAGCCCGTGTTGCACAAGGCGGCCCTGGGGAGCTGCCGGGGCCCATGTTTGGGGCAGCTGACACCTGATAGCAGGGTCATCTGGTAGACGTGGACTTTGGTTCCCTGGAACATGCTCCCTCCCACACCACTGTCCAGACATCTGGTTTACTGGGGATTGGGAGCTATTTCATCAAAGAGACCCCATCTTATGGGAGAATCCATCAGAAGGATTAAAAGGGCTCTGTGGGGGGCGGGGGAGTCTCCAGTGAGAGGAGAGGAAGTCTACAGAACTATCTACCTGAAACAGGTGATGTCCCTGGAAGATGATGTGGACCCTGTGTAGGAATCCAGCCCAATGCTGGAAAGACTGGGCCCTGTCTCTCCAAATTCCTCCACTAAAATGTCAGAGTCCAGTATGTGACCATACTATGTCACTTCATCCTCGCCAGTCTCTGCCTGGGAGACACCTGCCTCTCATCTCACCTGGCCATTTCAGCTTTTGTAGGGGGTGAGGGGATAAGTGACTTCTCAAGAAGGCCAAGTGGTCCTATTACAAATGAGGAGGGAAGGGAGCCAGGGTTGAGTGCTGAGAAAGGCCCCCAACGTCTACACCACCCAGTGCCTGGTGGCCAGAAAAGGCAAGGCCAAGAGCTTAGACTTTCAGAGGCCAAGACTCATGACGGAAGCTTACAAGGCCTCCCTCCTCTCAATCAAGCACTGCTCTCTGGATGCAAAGATGGCTCCAAGGAACTGACTCCCCCTTCTGTCTTCCCAATTGTACTCTTTAGCTGCCAGGACCAACTGTCACCACAGTGATGGAGATGCTGGTGACAAGGACAAGCCCTGCCACCCCGCCTCCCCACTGACTCCAGATTCCCTGCCAACTTGTGAGTCCCACACAAAGCTTCAGACAAAACCCAGGTGTGCCCTGGGGCCAGATTCCTGCCCAGTGTTGTGGATGGTTCCTCACACCAGCATCTGCAGAACAAGGGTTTCCACCCCCAACCCTTCCAGGACAGTCCTGTCTTCCAGATCCTTCCATCACAGATGGGGAAATGAAGGCTCAGATGGGGCATGTTTGCCAGATGACGTGTTTGAGCATCACTGTGTTTCTCTAGCTCCTCAGATCTGCCTCCCAGGAGGGGCACCCAGCCTGGGTCACACCACAGTGTGGGAGGGTTCAGCAGAGGCTCTTCTACCCCCTCGGCCCGGCGCAGAGCTCTCTGTCCTGCACAGAGGCTGCCACATTCTACACAACGTACTGCACACTGTACCCAGCTGAGGTCCACTAGCCCACCCTTCAGGCCAGAAAGCCCACTACTGCTGGTCTCAGCTCTGCCCTCTGGGGGGGCCACTGTTGTGGAGGAAAGACGCACAAAGGTCTGCATGATTAATAACAACCAAAGGCTTCGTCTGAACGTGGTTCTTAGCTTATGGATTTGTCCGTGGTGCTGAACAGGGCTGGGCTTTTGAGCTGGGTGAAAGAACCAGCAGGCTCAGCACGTGCTCTTCTGGCTGACCATGCTCTTCTGGTGCTTCTTCCTCTCTGATGCCTGCCCCTGTGAAATGCCCAACCCCCACCCCCATGTATGGATTTGACCTGGAGTTGACACCTCCTCCCTCCTCCCGAGCTATGCCACTATCTATATCCTTTCCTTATGGCAATCTGAGGGACCTGCCCTGCCCTGTGAGCTTCAGGATAGGTGCCTGGAAGTGTGTGGTAAGGACACCTGAGTTGGAGTTCCAGCTTTGCCACTTTTCTGAGCCCTGTTACCCCATATGCCAGATGAAAGTGCTCTGGCCACCCCCACCCAGCACGAAGAGTAAGTGTGCCAGGGGAAGGAACATCTTCACTTGCATGGTGCTGCAATACATGTAAGTTCAAGAGGCTGCCATTGAGGTGTGGGCCCCAGCTGAGCTGACCTGAGGCAAGGCTCTTTGCTGGGCCAAGTGGGCTTCAGCAGGGGGTGGGGGGGCATATTCTCCCAGGAAGCAAAGAGACCCCTGGAGCAAGGACAACCCAGAGGAAGACACAGGGCAGGGGTGGAACGGCTGCTTCGAGCCAAGCCTGAAGGTAAATGCTGGGCAGAGGCATGCCCCTCTTTCACCAGGAAGGGTGAGTTTCAGGGGCCAGGCCTGTGGGCTGCTCTGCAGATATTGATGACTCACAGCTCAGTTGGCTAAGACTTTTTTCCTTTAAAGCAGGGCACCTCATGTGCTGAGGATGGCAGGAGAGCCTACCAAGAAATTAAGCAAAGATTGCATGAGGCTGTTAGTTAATTAAGGACCCATATGTCATTAAGAATAAAGCATCCAAGAGTCAACTCCAACAGAAGGTGTCTGGGGAAAGATTTTCCGATGCAGCTGAAGTCAGCCCAGCCAGTCCTCCCCAGACTGGTGTCCTGTCCATGGCAGACACTGGGGCGGGTGGAGTGGGCCTTGGCAGCTTGGCCAGACTCTTTAGTCTGGAAGTTAGAAAACTCAGGTCCAGAGGAGTGAAGTGACTTTCCCTAGGTCACACAGCAAATCAAGACAAAGCCTGAATCTTGATTCCACCCATGTTCCCTAGACTTGACTTCTTTCTTGTCCACCATCCCACCCCCACCCCAGCCTCTGCCTCCCTCAGCCTCCACTTCCTTCAGCCTCCACCACCTGGAGGCCTCATCTCAAAATCAAGCTCATATTTCTAAGTCCTGGTAGGGACAGTTTTGTACCCAGAGCTTCTCATCAAGAGCTGCCACGTCTGGGGGGTCACCAGCACTTGCCACAACAGTAGGCACTCTGAAAGACCAAGATCTTACCCAGAAAAATTCCCATGTGCAAATTTGAGCTAATGTCTGCCACCCACCAAACAAAACCCCGCCCAAACAAGAGGATGCCATAGAATTCAAGTTTGGTGAGACTCCAGGATCTGTTTTTGGAATTTTATGGGAGGAGGACCCAGAAGGGACATCTAGATGGATAGTGCTCCCTGAAAGCCTGAGACTACGGCTGTGGTTGGTTAGAGTGCAGGACTTTACCATCAACTTACTTTATGGGCACTAGGGAGCCAGGGAAGGTTCTTGAGCAGAAGAATGGCTTGAATGACAGATGTGGCCAGCTTGTAGAGGGCCTTGAGATTTATGGTCTCTCATCTCTCCCAGGTGTGGCAGGATTCCACCAATGGTGGGATGGAATCTGTGCCCCCTGCACTGTCACACCCTTGCACCTTGGCCCACGCCTTTGCCTGTGCCTAAAATAGCACCCACTTGCTCCTTTAAAGCTCGCCTCAATGATTTCCAAAAGCTGTTTCCTCTACAAAGCCCTGCCTGAGCTCCTCAACCAGACTTGATCACTTTTTTTTCCCATAGTTGGATTTCAAGTCCGATGCCCCAGGGGTAACTTCCTCTGGGAGACATGGGCCTTGCTTTTATGAGAAATGCACACATGTATGAGAACACACGCAGGGTGGTTGGCAGAGAGCAGGTGACATTAAATGCCACCACCTCACAACTGGTCTTCACAGGCACCCTTTGCAGTAGAGACTATGTACAATCTCCAATTTAAAGGTGGGGAAACTGAAGCTCAGAGAGGCAAAACCACCACCCACCTGTGAATGGCAGAGGCCGGTCCCAGGCGTGCGAGATGCCAGGGCCTGAGCAGCATCCACACCCCCACGCTGCTCTCTGGAGGTGAGAAGAGCATGCACTTGCCTCTCTCAAGGCCCAGGGCTCTAGGGGTGGGCAGGTGCCAGGCCAGAGAGGCTGGGGATCCTGAGTCACTCACGATGCATGTCCCCGTCCCCTCGCAGCCTCTACCAGAGGTGTTGCCGCAAGAAAACAGTGCAGACTGTTTCCTGATGACGTTCCCATCGCGGGGCCCAAGTTCTCCATGGTGACACATCGCAATGGTGCTCCTGGAGCCTGGTGCCATCTGTGTCACCCGCCTTATGAGAGATGCCTGGTATGGCAGCTTCCAGCCCTGTTGTATGGGGCACATGCCACCCTGCCGGGCAGGTGCTGTTGAATCGCCAACACTATGAGGTCCAGTTTTCTTCCCATAGATCTGGATCCGTTTCCAGGGATGGAGCAGAGGCGTGCATTGAGTTACCCTGTTTCCACTTCAGCAAGTTAAGACATGCCTCAGTCATGGTGATGAGTGGCCATTGGGGCAAGAGGCCACACATCTCAGTGCCTTTATTCTCGAGATGGTCCTTCCCTCCGGGGCACTGCCCATTGCTTGCTGTTCCTGTAGCCAGGGCCACAGAAGTTTTGCTCCCTGGGTGCGGTCACTCACGACAAAAACAAGAACTGGGGGACCCCAGAAGAGGACATCGTCAAGTCCATCAGGGAGCAAAAGGGTCACAAGACAGCAAAAGGAGGTGTGAGATGCTCTGTCTCCACCTCAAAGCTGGAGAGCAACAGGGAGGCCTCCCAGGTCGAGGGACAGGCACGGGCAAAGGTGCAGAGGTGGGAGTCTGCATGGACAAATCTCGATCAAAACGAAAGGTTACTTAGCCACAGCAGGGAAACTGCATCACGACAGCGGCACTGAGAAGGCTACAGAGCTTGTCAGAGCAAAGATCTCAAGGACAGAGGTCACAAAATATAGCCCTTAATGGCCAAGAGGCTGTCATAGCAAGTTACATTTTTATGATGATGAATGAGTGGAAGGGCTTGGCAGTCTCTACCCCTCATTGAGGAGCTATGGGTGGGGGGGCAGGTGCCAAAACGGCCCAACTGGCTTGCAGGGACCCTCACATCAAGCATTTCTCTAGGCTTCCTGTCTATGAGTAGCTGGACCATCCCCACAGGTGTTTAGGGGAACAAATAGTGGCATTCAACCAGCACAGCAGAGGTCCACGTGAGAAGGCAGAAATCCCGAAGCCATGTTCGGCTTTGGCAGTGAGACCCAGCATCCACGGACGCCTCTCTTGAATGTGCAGTTAGTTCCCCTAACAGAGGAAAACAACATTTAATACGACTTATTTACCCACAATGCAAGCAGTAACCACAGAGGTCCCCAGAGAGCCAAACATCAAATGCATAAGTCATGGCTGCAGGACATCAACTCTGTTGTCTTGTCAAAATGTCTTAACCAGAGGAAACAAGCATAGCAGATCATGGGGCATTATTCCACAAGATGCTGGCTGGGACTCCTCAAGAAGGCCAACATGGTGAAGACAGAAATGGTGACGGGGACGTCCCATTCGGGGAAGGTCTGGAACAACAGGACAAGCAATGTGGGACGTGATCTTGGACTGTGTTTTAGACTGAATAAGCTCTGGAAGACATTTTTGGGACAACTGGGGTTTTACATACAGATTGTATCAGGCAATAATATTGTATGAATGCTACGTTTCTTAGGCATGACAATGGCACCATTGGGAGAGTGCTCTTGTTCATGGCAGACAATTTCTTCTTTGGCTGAACCACTGAAAAGCTGCAGGCATGCTAACACATTGTCCAAACATCTGAGTGAGAGTTAGGGGAGCGAGTGTGGCAAAGCACTGAGGCTGGGGGCATCTAGGCGAGAGGTCTAGAGAAGCTCATCAGACTATTCTTCACTCTATAATTCTGGGATTTTCAACATAGAAGGTCAGTGTCATATGACCATAGTCATAGGGTTTGTTTTCCTGAATCAGCAGCCTCTATCAGGTGTGGTCAAGAAAAAAACCACATCAAATGGATTTATGCTCAGCGCTTTGGGGACCCCGGAATGCATTTGGCCTTGGTTTGTGACAACCACGGCACTCTCTGCCATTGCCTGTCCCTCTTCATCTCCTCAGCTCCCCATCCCCTGCCAAACCAAGTGATTTTTGGCCTTCTTCTGGGCGGCTCAAGTTTCAAGTGTGCCCAGGGCTCAGAACATCCAGGCCAAATGCTTTTGTGGGTCAAATTGGTTTTGTGCTAAGTGCCCATAAATCTCACCCAAGCTGTCTCATTGTGTTGATGGGGAAGCCTCAGAGGCCCAGGGAGTAAAGTGACTTCCAGGAGCTCAGTGGAACACAGCACAATGACAGGTCCCCTGCCTACCACCCTGTCCTCACTGAGGGTGCTTCCAGGGTCCGGTGCAGGCCACAACTCTGGAGGAAACCCACTGTACACCCCTAGGCAGCATGGCCTGCATGGGACAGACCCCAAGTCACACCACTTTCAGAACAATGCCACGGTTTGCCAGAGTGCTTCACTGATGCCGGGGCCAGCACACTGATAGGATGGGAGCATGCACCTCTGCAGAGGGCTTCAAAGGGTATCTTGGGGCCTGTCATTTAAAAAAAAAAATTACAAAAAAGAAATGGAGCCATAAGCCTCTGTGATTTTTTTTTTTTTTTTTTGGACATTTTCTCCTTGCTCACCTCCCTCTCCTGGCCAATGTGCAGAGACAAGGGAGGCTCTGAGAAACCCTGTTCTTCCCTCCAGCTTCCAGCTGCAAGTGATTGTCACTGAGAATCGGGACCCATCAGCTTCCAGATAGGGATGAGGCAGAGAAAAGCAACCTGCCTAGGCTTATCTGCGAGCTTCTCATACTGTCCAGATGCTCTCTTAATCAAGGCCCTGTGCACAGATAAGGAACAGGTGAGCTGAGATTAATCTCCATTCTTTTGATGGGTGGGATTTTAATGAGCACCTCCCAAGGAGGCTTCTGTGGGCAGTGGTCAAGGTCCACTTGCTACCTCTCCTGGAAGGATGATGGACCCACTGGGAATCCTGGGCTGCAAATGAGCTGCTCTGACTATGCCCGAATGCAGGCAATCCCCTCCCAATTGGCCACACACAGTGGGAGCACACAGACGCTTCCAAGAGGGTTCACATTTAGAGCCAGGCAGCTCGCTGTGGTTAAGGGGCTGCTGTGGGGTTTCCAAGATGAAGCAGGGCAGGTGGAAAGAACGGATCTGATGCTAAGTGTAGTGATAACCAAGAATCTCAAAACCCAGAGGGGTTGGTTCATTCCTACATAAGAGTCTAACATGCTGACAGCCAACACAGCACTTTCCACCCAGAATGGGTGCAATGAAGATTATAGCAGGACGGTCTCTAGAAAGTACACCCAGGGGTTCTAGGAATCATCAGTACCACCGTCCACCTTCCTCCTATATTTGAGGTGGAAAGATGAAGACTGAGAGCTATTAGTTGAAAAGAGTTCAAGTGAGAGTAATATTTTTAAATACCTACAAGGCATGTTGATTTCTAGGTATTGGCTGGTGGGCTAAGCTTTGGTGATTGATTCTGGTAGGACGTGGCTCTTCCTGAGCTCATTCTAACAGAAGTTGAACCCTGTGTCCAAACAGCCTGCTGTGAGTTCGTACTCCTTGCTGAATGGGTACGGTTAACTGGGAGAAGGGAATGAAAATCACTTGGATGAATGAAAGAAATCACTAGGTGTAAGGGGAAAGAAGAGAGACGTGGAACTAAAGACTAATATCATCCAGCAACAAGAGATCTTCTGAAGGCTATAAACAGCAATAGAAGTACCAGGAAAATGGTAAAGAAATCAGTGGGAAGATCTAGATTCTACCTCTGAGACCTTTAGATGAGTGTTCACCTTCTCTGGACCTCAATGTCGTCCTCTGAAAATAAAGGCTATTCAGTGAGATGACTTGGACAAAGCTTCCTCAAGACTTTGAGGATCTGATTCTAATGCTGACTGAATGGTAGAGCACTAAACAGATGCCCAACTTCTGTTTCTCCAAGAGAAGAAAAAACCCTGAACCCTTAACGTGCCCCTGCCGTCCACCCTGAGACCATTTCATGATGTGCCTAGATGTGTCACTCCTTGGCCAGAGACCAGAGTAGGGAAGAGATGGACCATCTCAGCAAAAGATGAACATCACCAAGCAAGCAAACCAAGGTTTGCCTCCATCCCCTAAACACTTTGAGCATAAATAAGGATGTTAAACTCTGAAGGATGATCACGAGTCTTCTCTTTCAAAGGGCTAAACTGGTAGAAAAGAAAGAGAAGACATAGGGAAATTGAGGCAACTTGCAACTTATTTTGGCTCTGATACTTATAAGGTGAGGAGAAAAGACTTCATCCTATAATCCTTAATCTTATAGAAAATGTTTTCTATAGTTCCCTGGGAAGAGAAGAGCTCCTTGTTTCTTGAGGCATTCAAGCAGAAATATGGCTATTGTAGGACCAACGTGACACAGACATTTTAGTGGGGGAAACCAGCTCTGTGTGCAGGGTGGAGTCGGTGTCCCTTTAATTGGCTCCAAGGGCCTGCTGCATGTCCCCAGTGGGGAAACAGAGGCAGGCGCCCTCCTCCGAGGGCTAAGTTAGGACATGGTGGTGTGAAATCGGCTCCTTGGACTCTCCTGGGCTCCAGACTGAGACACCTGTCTCAGTTCTGTCAACAACCAGCTCCATGACACTGAGCAAATCACTCACCCTCTCAGTGCCTTGGCATCATGATAGATCATCCCCCCGCCTCCCGTTTGAAGGCACATCTTACAAAGGTTTTCATGAGAGCCCCACGTTTATTCCAGGCACACTCTTCTGAAGCATAAAGCACTCTGCAAATGCATTAGGGCTGTTACACCTCTGACCCCATAGAATCAACAATCTCATCCAAGAGAAAAAAATTTGAAAAGAACTGCTATTCTCTGGACAGACTTTAGAGCCCCAAGTAGGGCATCCCATAACACAAAATCTTAAAACAAGTGAATCGATAAAGACCTTGAAGGTTGAGAACTGTCAACTTTGGCCTAGAGAATCTGAGGTTCGCAGACTCCTTCGAAGGCCCTGTGTCCTGGACGAAGGGGAAATTTCAACATGGGATGTAGCGTAAAAGTACATGCACAGCTTTTTCAGAGGAGTCTTGAATGCTCCTGTTTCAGCCCAATGGCCCAAATGCTTGGGACTGGTGGCATTCAGGTGTTGTCTCCTTTAAGAAATCCTGTAGGTCTACTCTTTCTAGGGAGCAAAGCCTCCTTTCTGGGAGATCTCGTTGGGGCCTTGAGACAGGCCGGTAACCGTGCTCCTTCTGAGAACAGCCAAGGTCCAGTTCCATGCAAGAGCCATGAATTTCCGGTTTACAAAAGAGGAATGGGAGGATGGATGAATGGGTGATTTTTAGAAAATGGCAGGGATGGTAATGAGGGAAATTAAAGTCCCCTCAGTGAATCTGGAGGTCAAACTGTCTTTTATTCCTGCTACTGTAAGAGCCTCCAATGTGCCATATTCTACGGCCTGAACTACCCCTACCCCTCCCCCACAAGAGGATAGCGGGTCTTCCCTTTGGGCTCATACCCTATTGAGAGCAGGGAGGAATTCCTACACTACTCAGACAAAATTGTCCCCTGAGATTGGCAAGTTCCCAGTAGGCCAAGACATAGCTCCTTGCCTCTAAACTCTTCCTGAGACCAATGTGAACTTTCCCCTATTTACAAATCAAATGCAATTAGAGACGGTATTTCTTGAAATAGATATATATTTTTAATGAGGAATGCCCTGTCACTTCTCATTAGGAAAAGGCACCACAGCCACATACTAATACCCATTCTTGCCCAAGCATTCCAACACGATAATTCTTACGCAGGAAGGTGCTGCACAAAATCGTCAATAAGAGGGAAACAAAACAGGTACTCTGTGGTCCCAACAATTTTCCTGTGTCCCCTGAGAATTCCGGTTGCACGGGAAATTGTTGGAACTGGAGGTGACAAAACTAAAGATATCTCTTATAAATTAATATGATGGGCTTTTGATGATTCCACTTCTGGTTTTCTTGTGGATAGCGCATACCAGTTTAACAAAGTGCATGCTTTTTAAAAATGTTTGAACTGGCAAGCTAAAATGATCCAGGTCTTCCTGCCCACCCGCCCCCTAAAAAATGTTAATATAATTGAGAACCTAGCATTTAGAAAGTAGGACCATGACACATCAGGGGTAAAGACTGCTTATGAAACATGCTTGCTTTGGCAAGAGACGGTAAATCAAAAACCTTGGGGGGGGGTTGTCTTTGTTTTTTTGGAAGCAGCCAAAAGCAGGCTATGATGTGTGATGGAAAGAAAAAGGAATACCTAATACTTCCCGTGTTGTCACGACACACGTGCACACAGAAGCACACACACAACACATGCACACACAGCCACTCAGTCCTTAGGGAGGAAAAGAGAAAGGAGTTAGGTCAGAGACACCACTAAGGTGGGCGATTGAAGGCTCTGAGCATGGTGTGCAGCTTTGGGGTGGGTATCCTCTCAGTTCTGTCTCCGTGGTCTTGGTCTCACCTCTGTCCCTGGAAAACCACTGCAGAGATGGGGCGGGTGGGGTGAGAAATGTAAGGCATAGTCTGCTGGGAAGGAAGGAGGAGATCCATGCTTCATGCTCAGATGTGAGTTTCAGAGGAGGATGGGCCTGTATTTCCCTTTGGCCTGCTCTGTCTGGCTGGAAAGGTGGGGGCAAATGAGACCGAGAGACCAAGAAAGGAGGAAGGAGAGAAAGTAATAATGATGACAATAATAATAAAGAATAATAAATAAATAAGAAAAGACGAGTTGGACCAATGGAAATTAACATCAACTATGACAAATGACTTTTCTGTTCCATTTCCCTCCCCACACCTAAACAGACTTCCGGCGTCTCATCAGCCTCTGGTGGTCGGTAAAGCTGTGTAACCCAGGAGAGATGGAGCTAATAGGAGATGGGAAGAGGCTGTTTTTTAATGTGCTTGGTGAGATCTCCTCAATCTTGTAAGAGATGGAGTGGAAGTAGTGGGGGGCAAGCTTGGCGCTGAAGGAGTTCTGCGGAGCCGCCGAGCGGCCGCCATAGTCCTGCGAGCGGTAGCAGGTGCAGGAGCACACAGACTGCAGGTCCCCGACGTCCGCCTTGTACCTGGGCCGGCTGGGCCGCGGTTCCTCAGGGATGTGAATGACCATGCTGTTTCGGTTTCCAGCGAGGGACGCCCTCTCCTCGGCATCCCGCCGCTCATCCTCGGTGTTCATGGTCAAGAACCTGAGGACGACCAGGTTGAGGAAGGCCCCGATGACCGTCAGCCCCACCAGGATATACATAAAGCTAAAGGCCACGTAGAGCGGCTTCTTCTGCAGGGCGCCCTTGGTCTGCAGGGCCACGTAGTCCCCGAACCCAATGGTAGTCAACGTGATGAAACAATAGTAGTAGGCGTGGAAGAAGCTCCACTCCTCACACTGGGAGAAGGCGGCCGCCCCGATGCACAGCGTCCCCATGCAGGAGAAGAAGCCTACAGTCACCATGTTCTCCATGGACACGTCGGTGTTGCGCATGCCACAGCACTTCTTGATGCGCTTCAGCAGGTAGCGCACGAAGGTGTTCATGCGCTCACCCAGGCTCTGGAACATGACCAGCGTCAGCGGGATGCCCAGCACGGCATAGAACATGCAGAAGGCCTTGCCTGCGTCAGTGCCAGGTGCGGCGTGCCCATAACCTGCAGGGAAGGGATGAGAAGAACAGGGAGTTAGTGAGGAGGGGTCTGCAGGTTGGGGGAAGGGGGGTAGACTTGGTGCAGTGCAATTGTGGGGGACCTGCTGCATTTCAATTGGGATGGAATGGGGGGATTTCCTCTGTGGGGTAGAAGGGCCTGCCCATATCTTGGAGGGAGGAGAACAAAGGAGAACCTGTTTCTTGGAGAACCAGTTTCTTAGAAGTCACATGAGGATAGGGTATGGCAGTGGGGTAGGAGCATTTCAGTAGCGAGGGGATTTGGGATGTGCTATCACCTGGGATGGAAGGGAAGAGAAAAACAAGAACCAATGTCACTAAGCGGGGATTGAGGGTCAGTCCAGTGCCATCTTAGAGTGATGTACGGGCTTTAAAAAGAAAAAAGCAGATTCACTACTAAGAGAACTCCAAAAATACCAAGCCTGAGAGAGAAACCTCTCTCTGTCCACTATGGATTGACAGGAAGAATGATACCCGCCATGTGCCAGACAGTGCTGAATCCTCATGCATACATCGCCCCATTCTAGCCTCTAAACAACCATAATGATTCCAACCCCACTGACAAGAAACCTAAGTTACTTAATAGCAGGGTAGCTTGATGTCTTCAGAGTTGGGATTTCAGCCCAGAGCTTTCAGCTGCCAAGAGTGAGGCTCAAAAGCAGACTCTGAATCAAAAGAGGCAATTGTGGAGTGAGATGTAAATGACATGAAGGCATTTTTTTTTTAATGTTTTGTTCACTGCTGTATTCCCCCATGCCTAGAAAGTAAAATATTTCTTTAATAAAAATGAATAAATTTGTATTACTATAAGAACGGTGCCTTGACAGAAATGAGGAAACAGTCCGTAAAGGCCTCATGTGTGTAAGTACTTTTGAAACTCCTGATGCCACTTCACAGCACACCACTTTGTCACGTGGTTGATGCAGGGAACTCAAGTCAAGCCTTTATTTCCTCACTCTCAAAATGAAGGCAATGCTGTTGAATAGGTGAAGTCAGTTGTAGGGTCACCCAGCAGGTCAGTGACAGTGTCAGAGCCTGGATGGGATCTTCCCACTATGGCAGAAGGAACAAGAGACTCGGTAGGTTCAAACTGTGGGGTTAATATGGCCCAGAAAAAAACCTGGATCATGGACAATGTTTGGACTGAAATTTTAAAGGATGTACCTGGTCTTCCAACATCTAAAATCCTGCCCCATCAAGATAGACTTCCCTGAAGTGACCATGTCACACGTTCATGGTCACTGAGTCAGCTTGCTGCTTTACCTTCCATCCCATCAACTTTTTCCAACCCATGTTTCTTCATCTATGACACGGGATAATTGTCCTCAGGTGGAGGCATTACATGGCTCTGCCGGGATCAGACAGCTCCTAGCCCAGAGCCTGATTCATAGTAGGGACCTACCAGACCCCAGGATCCTCTACCACTCCCTCCTGCAGGAAGCTGTCTCTGCCTGCTGAAGCTCACATTTCTCCATCAGGGCTTCATGGCCTGTAGTTGTCTGCTCATCTCTGGTGCCATGACCTACCTAGCCCCCGTGGGCCAAACTCTCACTGGAGAAATGACATCACATGCTTGCCACCAGAAGGCCTTCTCCCCCTTCTCTCTGGCCCTCAATCCCAGCTACCATTGTGCTCTGACACCCTTCTGAAACCACTTAGTCCTTATGAAAGAAGAGATGAAGTGACAAAGTTAGGCCAGGAAGGACAGGGAGAGGAAGCAGAAAAGCTAAAAAAATTTTTAAAATTTAAAAAAAAAAAAGAATCAATTGAAATTATCGAATCTGAAGAGCAGAGAAGAATAAGGGTTGAAAATTTAAAGCCTCAGAGGATCTGTAGGGCAATATTAAAAGGTATGCCAGAAGAAAAGAATGAGACAGGAAAAAGAAGAAATAATGGCCAAATGTAGCTAAATTTAGACCGGGTGCAGTGGCTCACACCTTCAATCCTAGTACTATGGGAGGCTGGGACAGGTGGTTCACTTGAGGCCAGGAGTTTTAGACCAGCCTGGCCAACATGGTGAAACCCCATTTCTACTAAAAATACAAAAATCAGCCAGGTGCATGGCTGTAATCCCAGCTACTTGGGAGGCTGAGGCAGGAGGATCACTTGAACCCAGGAGGTGGAGGTTGCAGTGAGCCATGATTGCACCACTGTACTCCAACCTGAGTGACATCTCAAAAAAAATTTTTTTAAAGCCAAATGTGATGGAAGACACAAATGTATAGATTCAAGAAGCTCGGTGAACCCCAAGCAGGACAAATACAAAGAAACCCACATGCCAGAGTTAAGCTCCTGAAAGTCAGAGAGAAAATCATGAAAGCAGCCAGAGAAAAGCAAGAAAGCACATCCAGGGGAACCACAACGTAATATTGCTCACTTCTAAACATAAGCAACAGAGGCCAAGAAACAGCGGAAGCACAGCTCTAAAGAACTAACACTGCTCACTCACAATTCTATATGCAGAGAAATTATCCTTCAAGAACAAAGGCAAAACAAAGACAAGTTCATTAACAGCAGATCCGCACAACAAGATTACTAAAGGCTGCTCTGTCTGGGGAAAAGGACACCAGATGGAAACTTAGATCTTCAGGAAAGAAGAAGGCACATCTTGGCAAACAAATAGGGTAAATATAAAAGATGCAGGGGTGGGAATCCTACTATATCTCCATATAGCTCATCTGTAGAGCTGATACCAAAAAAAAAACCAGCTGGAATGTTGGAGAGCAACAGGAGGTTGTTGGACACTTAGAAAGTGGTAATGTTCTGGATGCGATATATTTACTGGAGGAAGTCAACACAGCATTTTCTGGGTCACAAGCTGCATGTCAGGTCCCAGAGTCCCCTATCCCCACTTCTGTTCCTGCTAGTAAAAATAAGCAGCAGTTTGCGCTCACAGGACTTGGACAGCAGTACACTGGTATGTCCCGTCTCAGGCTTATGTCAGTGCTCCTGCTGTCTTACTACAGAATGGAAAGAACTTGATCAGTGTTTCCCACTGGTCCACTGCACTGATGCCATCCCTTAGTAAGACACGCGCGTGAGGAAGGATGGGAGATGAACGGCACTGAAGTTCGAGGGTCTTCCACGTGAACATATTTCCTGGGGGCCCAGGAGTCCAGGGAACAGGACCAGTCCCTCTCAAGTGAGAGACACGTTTCAGAACTCCCAAGGCCTGTACAGGAAAAAGGCAGCTGTGCAGGGTATCCTCAACTGTCCTATTTAGCTGTTCCCAGCCGCACCCTGCTCTTTACCCTGGAAGCTACATCAAGTGCCCCTTTGCCCACTGGTTTCCAGTTGGGTCCATCCAACGGACAGCCCCAGCTGATCAGAGGAAGGGAAGAGGAGGACTGTGGCAATTAGCTGCAACTGCCGGCAGGCCCACAGCAGCTCCTCTCTACAGGTTCCAGCAACTGCACCTTTGGCTTGTTAACAGCTCTCCGCTGGTGCTGGGATACCACACACCCCTCATTGCTTCCCCCCAACCCTGCTTCCACGTTCAATAATAAATACTCCATTTATTATTGGGCATGAGAGCGCTGTCATACCATATGTTCCCTGAGTCCGCTTAAGATAGAACGCCGCAGGTGGTGCTGCGTGCAAACAGGTCTGCAAATATTAAGTCCACAAGTTGGATGTTCGCAATGCCTGTATGGAACTCATACACAGCACCGATGAAGACTTCACATGGAGTGCACATGGTGTACACCTGAAACCTAACGTGGAGAATCACTGCACATGGGACGTGGTAGCACATTATAGACAGATAAACCAAGAGGCGCATATAACTACAGCATACCCATATTCGCCACCAAATATTGTCTATGAAGTGTGCCTGTAGAACACAGAAAACAAGACTGTGTATGTGCCAACCTATGTATACGCTGCAGACTGTATACATGTTTTAGGAGCACATACCACGTCTACAGATTGTATGTAGAAGATACAGTAAAGAACATAGAAAATGCATGTATGCTGGATACGTGACACAGAAGTGTGTCTCTAAGCTCTTCCCAAGAGAACGAGGTACAAATCTATTTCCCCAGCACCTGTGTGACAACGCAAGTCCAGCAAGACTGATTATATTTTTCCCCATCTGCAAATGAACGTATCCGAGTGCCCTCGCCCGCCCCAGGGTCAGAAGATGTATTCATTCATCTATGCATATATTACCCATTCAGACACTTCAGAGACTTGACTGTGCACCCTTGGACCTGCTCTTGACACAGGGAATTCCACAGAAACTTTTCTTCTTTCCTGGAAATTTCCTACGATGCTCTAGCCAGCCTGTGTCCAGAACCCTGCCCAGTGCTCAACACGAGCAGGTGCAGATAGAGGCTGGGGCATGGATGTGGAAAGGTCACAGATGACCCCTGAGCTGCTTATTCTTGGTCACCTCCCACCCACCTGTGAGTGCAGGAGCCACACGTGGCCATGTGGATTTTCCCTCTAGGACTCCAGGCTCCTCCACAACTCCAGGCTCCTCCACTACTCACCCACCAGGGGCCACAAAGTGGTGACCTCCTCCTCTGAGGACCACAGAGCTGGCAGAATCTCAGCAGTCCCACCCAGCACTGGCCACCCTTCCCTCATCATGAAGGGATCACTCATCCCTTTGGCTGAAAGACTTCTGAAATAATGGATCTACACAAGGTTCTGGAGGCACACGCAGAGCACGGAAGGTAGAGAGAACGAAATTGGGACTCCCAGAAGGGGGCCTCAGCCTGCAGGTAAGGTCCAGCCGAGCAGCCTCAGTCACTCAAACTACTTTACAGATGTGGAAGATGAGGCTGCAAGAGGGAGACTGGACTAGCTCACAGCCGCCATGCAAGAGACCATATCAACCGCACACAGCCCAATGCCTGGGAACCCCTCCAGGCATGCAGCCAACAGCAGGGCCCTAAGCCGGAGCACCACCAACTGGGGAACTCAAAGGCCACACACAGGGCACAAAGCCCCTGGACACAAGAGCTGCAGCCAGCCCACGCC